GGCGGTGCCGCCGAGGCCCCGCCCCCGACCCGGAAAGTAAACACCCGGCGCGCGGGCCGAGCTGGACGCCGCCTCGCCTCCCGCGCTGCCCCGGGTCCGGGAGGTGGACGGAGATCGCTGCCCCGACCGGGGGGAAGCGGCGTTCCGGGGAGTGCAGAGAAGGGAGAGGAAATGTGAGGGGCCAACGGGCAGTCCCCCGGGAAGGTGACGCTCTGAGGATGAATTTTGAGCCGAGACCCGTGGATGAGAGGAAGAGGGTGGGGAAGCTCCATGGGGAACATCAGAAGGAACAGCGAGTGCAGAGGCCCTGCTCGGTGGGTGGCTGGAGCGAGGGAGAGTGGGAGCAGCAGCGAGGGAGCCCACTGAAGAGGTGGGGCGGCCACAGCGCGGCGGGACTGCCGGACGGGGCGGAGCGCACTGCCAGAGTCCAGGCAGAGGGATGACGCCGGCACGGTCTCAGCTAGGATTTAAGACGTTACCCTCGGGCTTGAGAGTGAATCGTACCGGGGTAGGTAGAGAAGGGCAGCTGGCTAGGGGGCCCCTGCATTTTGCCAGCAAGCGGTAAAGTACCAGGAGCGAGGGGCGCTGGCGATGGAGACGAAGATGGAGATGGAGACGAAGGCTGGCAGATCGCGTGTTCAGGTGAACCCCGGTTAACAGATCGGGAAGAGGGGTTCAGAAAGCTAAAGGAGCATTGTTCCGACTTCTTTTGCCCACAGCCAGAGTGAGGAAAAAATACGTTATAAAACACAACCCGTTAAACACGTGTCTACACTTAAGGAGACGTTAAGACATTACTTAGGTAATGTGTTCTATTTTATTCTTCTATTTTCTTATACCGACAGAAATTATAGATCCACTAATAAGTCTTGATCTACAGCTTGAAAATTGGATTGAGGGCCAAGCCCCACTGGGAATCCAGTCAGAATTTGGCCCAGTTCTGTCTGAGCCACAGCCGGTGGGCTTCCTCCCACCTCTCAACACAAGTAATCTCCATCCTCCCCACCACTCCCTGCATTAATTATAATAGTGGGAAACACCAAAAGCCAACAGTTCTGCAAAAACCAACAGGCCCACCTCACATGAACCTCTTGCTGTAGTTAATATGCTAAAGGTTAAGGGAATTTTTTTTAAGCACCATACAACGTGGTCTGTATTCCAGAGTTACAATTGGGTCCAAATACACCCATGCTTAGGAGCTGTAAAAATGAAAACCTTTGTGTGTTTGGTTACTGAGATAGTTTTCCCCATTTTCCAACTGTACTTTACAGTTGTTAAGGAATCCTTGGATCTGAACCCCCCCTTCTCCCCTCAGAAAGCAAACTTAGGTCTGGCTGACTCTCTTAGCTTCAGGAGGGCATCCCATACCTACTTCATGGAATTGTCTGGAAGATGATAAATTCTGTCTCTGCACCCTGGACCTTTTCTTCATAGCACTTGAGGCAGAATAAATTATTGAATCTTAATTGTGCTTTTGGTTTGGTTTGGTTTTAACCAAACCACCCTGTAAGGATGTAATTCCTCTTTCCAGGATTTTAGCCTAGAGCACCAATAATCAAAAGCCCAAGGTCAATAGGTCTTCTGGTCTTTGAAAAATACACTTCCAGCAGATAATAGCAGGGGGTAAGGAGAGAAGAAGGAAGGACTGATAATGAGCCTGAACCAACTTCTAAGGTCACTTAACAGGAAAGGCCCGTGTGCTTGCCCTGAGAGAGACCAGGCTTCAGACAGATTGACAAAAATCATCAGAGCAATAGAAATTAAACCAAAGTATAAGGTAAAAGAACTTAAAAGTAGATATACAGGCCCTCCCTGGTGGTGCAGAGGGTTAAAGCACAGCATGAAGAAGCTAAAGCCCCTTCAGCATGATTTTGATCCCCGCCCTGGAGGTGACCACTTGGCACAGACCTCTCCTGGCCCACCCGCTGCTCCCCTCAGCAATGTACCTGTTCTGCCTGTTCTGCTCCCCACTCTGTCTCTGGTGAAGCCTCTCCCCACCCCTGCTCCTCTGGCCTGT